AGCAGCTCGCAGACTTGTACAAATCCAAAAGCCCCATTCCTGACACACTTTTCCTAGTGAGGAAACAGCATTTACTGGCCCAGTTCAGAGAAACCCCAACACAAGAGGGACATGGAGCTGTTGGAGCGAGTCCAGAAGAGGCCACGGAGGTGTTGCGAGGGCTGGAGCAGCTCTGCTCTGGAGCCAGGCTGAGAGAGCTGGGCTGGGTCAGCCTGGAGAAGAGAAGGCTCCTGAAGGGGAGACCTGAGAGCAGCTCCAGTGCCTGAAGGGGCTGCAGGAAAGCTGGAGAGGGGCTTGGGACAAGGGCCTGCAGGGACAGGCCAAGGGGAATGGCTTTAACCTGCCCGAGGGGAGACTGAGATGAGCTCTTAGGCAGAAGCTCTTCCCTGTGAGGGTGCTGAGGTGCTGGCACAGGGTGCCCAGAGGAGCTGTGGCTGCCCCATCCCTGGCAGTGTTCAAGGGCAGGTTGGACACAGGGGCTTGGAGCAAGCTGCTCTAGTGGAAGGGGTCCCTGCCCGTGGCAGGGGTTGGAGCTGGAGGAGCTTTGAGGTCCCTTCCAACCCAAACCAGATTCTGAGACTGGCCTTTAGCTGAGATCCTTCTGCTGGGTGACTGGAGGCTCCCAGTCCTTCAGACAGAGCCAAGCACTAGCACAGATCACCCAGCTCCCAGGCAGGGCCTTACCAGAATTGCTGACTGCCCCTTTGTTTCCTGCTTGGAAGCGAAACACTGGCAGTTTTTTGATTGAATCAAACTTTCCCTCCATATGAAACAAACATCTTTGTTTGGGAAGAAGGTTCCCCCACCCTTTCACACACACAAATGTGCACACTCACTTTTAGGGCCAATTTATAAACCAAAAACTCTGCAATTAGCACAATTTCATTTGCAATTAGCAGGGATGAGTTGTTTGCTTTAGTGCCAGTATTAGTAGCGATGGAAGTACACTTGCTCTTTTTGGTTTTAAATCGTTTACTGCCTCTTTGCATTTAGTTTCAAGGTGAGACCAGCGTCTGGAAGCATACTGTAAATTATGCTGTTATCATTTCATGAACTTCAGCAAATAATGCATTATAATTACATCAGTGATCAGAACTGGATCTGAAAATGCACGAAGGGCTGGCATCCACTGCCGCTGTGTCTGACCAGACCAGGAGGGGAAGACAACAGTTCCTGGCATTTGTTTTCAGATGAGCTCCAAGTCACATTTGCAGAAGGATATGAACTGCATTCATTTCCCATATACCTCATTCCTGTGGCTTTTGAGACTTGTGTCCTTGTTTCTTGTTCCCTTTTGCTTCTTCCAACAGTTCGCCTTTAAGAGAAGCTTCCCTGCCTTAAAGCCAAATGCAATGCACCCTGCCGTGATGGATTCCTTCTTTTCCCTTCCTAATTGGAGCCATTTCATCAGATCGAATTTTGACAAAGATAGTAATTGTCATCCAATTTTAAGGCAATGACAAGATCAATATGAATTCTCAGATGACAAGTATTATTACTGGGTGAGCACAAAGAAACAAAGGAAATGAAAAATCCATGTTCTAGGGTTCAAAACAGTTAGAGGCACATGCTTGCCTTGATCCACGTGTGTGTGAATCCTATTGACAACAATAGATGCTGTGCATGTGGATGGATGGGGTAGAACAGATGGCCTTTCCCAGTCAAATAACGAAGGGAATGAGCACCCAGCGCTTTAGTACATCGCTGTTGCAGTAATGTGGGAGTCAATTAACTTACCACCAAACAGGCTTAGAGGGAAAATTACCCACAGCCCCATCTCAGAGAGTTCTGCTTCTCCTTAACATTTTGTACTCCTTCTGTTTCCTGAATGTCAGGAGTAAATACCCAAGAAAATCCCGGTTCTTTAAGGTAAATGTATTCAACTTTGATTTATGGAAGCAGAAGTACTTGATTATTTTTATAACATTGTTTAAATGAGATGAGCTGGTAAGTTAATGGCCTGAAGAGTTCAGAGAAGGTTCAAACAAGGATCTGAAATGCATTGCAGCACCTTTAGAGGTTTTTTTCCCACCATAGTGGTTTTGGGACTGATTCTGCCACTGGTGCTAGGTACTGTCATTTTATTTAGGAGGTTTACCCTCTTAACGATGCACTTTTGCAAGGCATTTGACCCTCCGAGATCTGCTCTTGTTTCACATTTGCTCCTCAGTGTGCATTCAGGTTACCTCTGCAAGACCACTCTGCACACAGTCATCTTGCTGTTAAAACCAGACCTCCTTCTTTCCAACTCTCAAAATGCTAAATACAAGGAAACAGACCTTTATTCCCCACTATTTCTATTCAAAATGCAGTTTAACTGAGGGAAGGGGTCTTGGCAAAATAATAATACATGATTGTCATACTAATTGGCAGCTGCAATGATAACAACCATGACAAGTTTTAGCGTTGTCCACTTCAACCCAGCCAAGTCATTAAAGGTTTCCAAAGGAGAGGATTGTGTTATGAAGCTGAATATACAGTGGCTGCTCCACTGGTATCCCTGGATTGCTACACAGGTTTTTAACTACGCAAGCACAGGTTCCGCAGGATTTTGATCCATGGACGAAGGTCTCAGCTAAGCACTGAAAAGATGTTTGTTACCCTCCAAAAATAGAAATAAAATATTTACAAAGAGAATAATTGACTTTTGCTGTTTACTGCAGGCGATGGTTAAGCAGGCAGTGTCTGTACCGAGCAGTGCAGTGACCACCTGCCACAAATGCTGTGATATTTGACAGATCCCTTTCTGCCAAGAACTATAATTCCTATTTAAATCTAAATAGAGGAGCCATGAATGCAGATTTCTCATCACAAAGACACTGGTGTTAATCCCCGGTACAGAAAAATAAGAAAAGCCAGAACGTTTTATTGGATTTTATATGGAAGATAATTAAACAGTATTTCTTCTTTACTTGTTATACGGCATCCCATCAACATTCCTGCTGAAATCTGTTTAGAAAGAAAGCCAGGAAGTTTTATTGCATTTTTATGCAGAAGAAAAGTCGCATTTTGTATACTTGAACTTACATTAAAATAACAAAAAGTGGGTAAACATAAAATGACCAATGAATGGTGAAAACAAACAGAACAAGTAAGGGAAGCATAACACTATTCTCATGCGCTCGGCTTTATATTCTAAGCATGCAAACTACAGAAATGTTGATGTGCCTATGTATGCATTGTATATATTCATGCACTGAGCAGGTCTGAAAGCCAAAACTCCCCAAAGTTAGGAAGCACTGCAATTAGATGTGCTTGCACACCCTTAATTTGGCCTTTTTGACTGTATACACATGGATGTATTCCCCCCCCCAAAAAATGGTGCAGTGTAGGCAGAAAATTGGCTGGGAGAATGATGTAATCTCTGCGAGAGCTGCTTTGCAAAAGCCTGTTTCTCTCCTGCCCACAAGCCAGTTTGGTATTTTGGATGTACCCAAGGAAGTTCTCTGAGCATGTTTCCCAGCAGGTGGGTGCTGCCAATCCGAGGCTGCAAGAGAATGTGTCGAAGTGTGCATTTAAAGCATGCTTATTAACAGAGGGGAGGCGGGAGCTGTAGCCAAGGTTGCATCCCCGGCATTTAGAAACGATTCGGTTCAGCCTGGGCTGCCATTTACTGCATTATGTGATGCATGTGGATTTTCCCAACAAAAGATGTTTATGAGAGGAGTGTATTTTAAGTTCCTTTTCACGACTGTACCAGAACCCCCCCTCCAAGCAGATGGCCTGACAGTTGCGAGAAAACTATTTGTAAGCCAAAAGTAGCATTTAAAATGCTTTTTAAGAGACAGTTCCTTCTCTGTAGACATGTTCATTTTAAGCAGGTACTAATTCTGGCCGCAGCAGCACCTTCCCTGCTTCCCAGCGCATTCCAGAGCCGACAGCACAAACTGAGGAGGCGCGGGCTGAGGAAGCGCAGCCCCCAGCAGTGCCAGCAGCGTGGCACAGGGATGCCGTGTCACATCACCACCCCGATCCCTGCTCTCCGAGGCTGCTGTCAGCACTGCTTGGGGCAGAGGGGACTGCGCTCGCTGCTAACGTGGGGTGATATTGGAGGTGCAACAGTGTTGGAGTACAACAGTTTCAAAACAGGCTATATCCACAATGAAAAATGTTTACTTAGCATTTACAAGTGGGTAGAAACAAGCAGGATTAGCAACAAACTTGCCAAGGACATGAATATGTTTAATTCCATTTTCATTCACAGCCTTGACTGTTACCTCACTGGAGTTGAAGTTCTTTGGGGGAAAACAACTAGCTGAGAACGAAATAACTAAACCTGAGCCACTTGGCCATTGCTAAGTTTATGTATTCTGGGAGAAATCTGTTGGCAATACTGACTTCATACAGCTGCCTTTACTGACCCTTTTAATTGCCTTCTACAGAACCTCCTGCTTGAAGGAAGAAAGCACTCCCATATCATACACTTGATAAATAAATAATGCCATTCCTCTGGAGACAAAAATTCCATCTCTTAATCCAAGCACAAGGACAGGGACTGACGGTCCTTACAGTCTGGGGAGATTAGTTGTGCTTTTCCTTCACCTCGGTAACTGAGACTTATTATTTGTAGCATCTGAAACATTTAGAAATACTCCTGAAAAATTAGCCTAATATCCCGGAGCGATGAGTTGTGGGGTTGATTATTCACTGCACAAATGCTTTCAGAGTTTTTCCTTCACCTTTCCGTGCATATTTGTTCTGGAGAGAAAACAGAATAAATAGCTCCTTCTCCCTGCTTCTGTTATATCATCTTTTACTCCCGTGTTTTGCAAACTAAACAATGCTTGTCTCTTTAATCACCTTTTAGATGGAAGCCTCTTTCCTCGTGTGTTTAATCATTTTTGCTGTACTGTTTCTTACTGCAGAAGTATATACATGTGAGCATGCACACCTCTGGAGCAATCAAAAAGTCTGCTAAGAACAGGTTTTAAGGCTTAGCAGAGGTTTGCTCTTTGCTCCCAAATCAATCCCTGTTCATCTCATTCTAAATTCACCTTAAGCAACAGGGTCCCCCCCAGTGCCAGTGCCAAGATGTGTGTGCAGATGTGCAAGTTTGGAAGTGAGGAGCAGGACAGAGAGGGCAGGAAGACCTCATCTCGCATTCAGCAGTGCGGTCACCAGGCCAGGCCTGACTTGCTGCAGAAATGAAGGCAGAGACCAACACGGGTAAGAAATTGTTTCTTCTGTGTGAGGAATGAGCTTTCTGAAGCCTAAACCTTTCAGACATGACAATTTGTAGATGATGCTGTTTCATCTTCCTGAGGCTAACCTTTATTCCAGTCTGCCTTTGTCCTTCACCCACACTGTGCAGCATTGCAATCTCTCTTTGAACAGTGATAATAAGTTCAGATCCAGTGCTACAGCTCTGCTTGGCCCAAAAGGGAACATGAAGGAGAAATGAGAAGCTGGTGAAAAGCCTCAGGGAGAAACAGGCTCTCTGGGTGGGACCCTCGTCCTCACAGAGGTGCAGTCAAGCAGTTGTTATTTTCTTTTGGCAGCCTTTGGTTTCTGTGCTATAGATTTTCTCTCATTTCTTTCTGCACCCAGAATGCTCTGTGTGTTATAAAGGCTGGGGAGAACCAGTGCGCGCTGGGAACGGTCTATGTGTCCGTAGATGTGCACGTAGATGCGTGTAGATGCACACATCCGTGTACGCAGAAGCCTAAGCCCCAGAACGTTTTGGGTAGGATCCTCCTCATCTAATTTTAGCTTTCTGAAGCTTGATTATCTAGTCCAACCTTGTGGCTTAACCTTCTTCCGCAGGCAACAGAGAGAGGAGTCAGTTCATCCCATCATAAAGTAGGGGTATGAGACAGAAGGGATGCCTTCTGCCATAGAAGTACCTCTGCTGCCTTTGGCACAGAATTGGTCCAGTGCTCAGGTAGGTGTTTCCCGTCACAGGCTGCAGAGCTGTGTAACTAGAAAGACCCCAAAGTACTTGCTCACAGATCCTGCTCCTTGGGCCAGTTAAGTTGCTGTTATTGATCTTGGTATGAGCACCAGAGAGCTCTGGGGTACAGGAGGCTCTTACAGACTCAGGCTGCCTTACAACAGTGGCTGGAAAGAGTGATTATGGGCAGTGCTGTTACATACCTCATGCCAATCATGCTACATCAATAAGCAGTTAGATTTATATTTATAACAGTGATAGTTGGTTACTAAATTTTGCCATGTTCGAATTGGGGGAGAGGAAGAGAGGGTTGTGTTTTTTTCCCTCATATAGTTATAGTTTCTCTCTGGAAACCTCTTTAAAAAACAAAGTTAAGGTGCTGAACTCTCCTTTTGGTCTTGAAATCAAATCAGCTCTGCCTTGTCCTTGGCAAGTTCTTTGTTAATCCTGTTTGTGTATTTTAAATGCTGTGCAAACATTTTCATTGTGGATTAATGCACTCTTTCAAAGCAGTGGAGATTTTAAGATTGTCATTAATTCAGAGATACTTCCGTTACTATTCTAGTTCTTTTGGAAACTAATTTCATACAATGCCCTTTTTGAGGCTTTGCTCTGGAGTGCTCAATGAATACTATCAAAGGCCGTATTAGAGACGATTGTATATAGTTGACCAGGGTTCATACCAGTGACTAGTTTTAGATAGCGTCTTACATTGAAAACATGATTCTTCAATTATACCTCCTATTGCAAAAATGAAATTACCTTGAATGCTTGGTCTAGTAGGCTTATTTCTTTGAATACAATAGTAAATGGTCAAATTCTTCTTCACAGTAAAGCGTATCTGATTAAAAAATGAAAGAAAGAGAGAGAGAAAAAAATGTGAGAAGCAAAGTCAGTTGTAAGCGCCCTGAGATCAGTAAAAGGACAGATCATACAAAGATTCTCCATTTGCGAAGCCCCAATAATTCCAGGACTGTCTGAATGCTTCAAGTAGGAAGCGTCTAAATGCCTAATGTTCTGCTGGCTGATTCAGGACACTGCAAGGAGGGGTCAGAGGGCCCAAGCGAGTATGCAGAAGCTCTTAAACACATTCACACTTTTCACAGATAGTAATCAAAGTGATTTGCAAATGCATCTTAGCAAAACTTAACATCTTTGAGATCACAGTTGTAAAAAATAATTGATACAATTAGAGGACTGAATCTACGTTTGGTGGGACTGCAGCAATTCACATTTATTACATTTCTAAGTGTTTTCTTGTCTGCTTTCCCAAGTCATAATGTACATCTGATTTATTAATAGTGATTTGCAGCCCTTCCCTGTTCTTTTTTTTATATCTTACGATCTGTGCAGATGTTTTAGGAGTGACTTCACTGTGCAGGGGGTCTGACCTTGTGAGGACACACCAGCCCATGGACAGACAGTGGCTGGCAATGCTGGAAGGTTGGTCTTGACATGTACTGAATTGAGTGCCTACAGCTGCAGAATACGTACACAACCTCAAGGCTACCTACTGTGGTGGTTCTAAACAGCCTGCTTTTCTAATTCCAGGATTACAGCGCTTAAAGGCACATAAGGATGATGAACAAGTGGAAAGGATCTTATGTCTTTACACCCACAGGGAGTTCCGTGCCTCTGTCCTGTTGGCATTAGTCATGTAAGCCTCTCATTCATCTACCTTGGGAAGACTGATTTGCTCAGCCTTTGGTGTTTTCATCTGGTTTTGATGTGCTAGCTGAACTAACTCAATGATTGCTTATGTGTATGAGAATTAATTAGAAATTTTGACTATATAAAGCAATCTTGTGGGCTCATGCTTCGTTAGGAGTCTAATCAGTTAGCCACTGCAATGCTAAGTGACTTAATTTGCACTGCAGATGCTCTAGCTAGAAGGCAGTGCACATTTGTGTGGAAGATGGATGCAGAATTTCATCAGCTCTTTGCATTAAATTCTTAGCATCCTCCTCTTACCTGGGTAGCATATGATGAGAGGACAGAGCACAAGGCTTCAGCATTGTGCTCCCTGCAGATTCTTATGACAAAGAATCTGTTGCTTTACTTTACCAGAGAAAGATGCTGGTCCAGCTTACGGGGCATGGATGTGCACCTTGAGACTCTCGTGCATTCACTTTCTTCAGAGCCACAGTAAAATGTTCCAAGACGAAAAGCATAACACAGGAGTGAAGTGGTTGTTTTCTTCTTTTAACTGCTCCCTTCCTTATTTCACTTGTAAAATTACTCAACTGATTCTTAGGAATACACAAAGCGCTTTGAGACCCTGAGCCACCACCTGCAGGAATCTGATTGTTTGCTAGAAAGGAATCATTTTTGTTGTCCAGAAAAGCCCTGAAGAGGACCAAGAAGCATTTCCATATTGTAGGCATTAGCAAGAAGGATTAGGCAGGCTGTAACCTTGGTCAGTCTGACTTCTGCAATTATGGAAAATGACAAAGATTGCTGTTAGCTCCCATTTATCTTATGGCACAAACTTGTCCAGGATGAATCTTCTCTTTTGAAATACTTATCTCACTAAACTAGCATGTATATGAAGTGATTTCTCTTTCTTTGTTTCCCCCATCAGATTGATAATAGACTGTGTAGGAAAGTGCTGGAAAACACAAAAAGAAGTCGGAGCAATTCGAATTGTCATGGCAATATCCTCAGTTTTTCAAGAAGTTTGGTTCTGTTTAGCTAGTCACTTTAATTTTCCTTCGCTAACTTGTCTCCATTCTCTGCCATAATGATAATTCTTTCTATGACTGTCAGCCCTTTGCATTGTGACAGCTTAAATTAATGTTTTGATATTTCTCTCTTTGTAAGAATACAACAAAGAAGACAACTGCCAAGGATAGGACAGAAACTGTATGAATGTAAAACAGACATTGTGCACCAATAAAGCCAGAAGGAATAATTTTCACTTTATTGCCTTGTTAATAAGCTTTTGCACCAACTAACCCTGAACACTTTGGGTTCTATAGGCTCGTGGTGCCCTTCTGCTTCATCTGGACTGCAGTAAACTTCTTACTGGGGACCTTGGATGGTTGTGGGAATACTTCAACCCATTTAGGTCAGGAGGTTTAATATCTAAGGCAGGCTGATTCAGCCTCCAGTGCTACACTAGCTGTGCATGTAAGCTCTGGTGGATTAGCTTGTTTTACAGTCATAATCATAATAGCACTTGTTCACAGCTGAAACTCTTTTGCAGACTAATATATGTTCATCTCATTTTTACATGCCACCTCTCCAAAAGTTAAGAGGATCAATAATAAGAATTCCAAGCAGAAGATGCAGGAGCCGTTGGAAGGATTTGATTTGGCACCTACAGAAGAAATGGTGGAAAAGAATTGTCTTAAGATTTTGTTGAGGTTTACACCAGTCCTTATCTAAAGTTCAAGGCCTTTTGCAGCATCCTTCCTGTTCTTCATGTACTCCTCAAAAATCCCAAGCACATCTGGTATTGCCTTAAATGAATCTTGACTTCAATGAGGGTGGTGTTTCAAAATGTTCTTTAAAACATCTTTTTGAAAAGATCTCAGCTACTGAGATGCAGTTTAATGCTTTGGCGTAGCTGAGGATTTCACTGCTATCTTCCCTCATTTTTATCATTTTCTGCCTGTTTTTCCTCTCCCGCATCCCTTCAGGACCAAACCTCACCTGGGGGATGAGGAATTTAAATGAAAGTAGAACAAAAAGAAATCAATTAATCCATTCTTTGTGGCAGAAGCCACCAGATGATGCTGTTACTCTTACAGCTTTTTAGCATGTGAGCAAGAGTTCACTTTTTTAAGGAATGCTGCACTGTTATTTAGTTTTACAGTAATCCTCTGAGACAGGATAGCGGCAGAGTGTGTTTTGTGCTTTATTCTCTATGTGATGCAGTTCTTGGGACAAATTACTTTCCTTGGAGTTAAATTTCAGTGCCCAGCTGGAAAGTAGTGCTTTCTGGAAGCAGTGGGGACTTTTTTGATGACTGCAGATACCACTGTCACAAGGTAAAAAAGAAGCATAAAGAAAATGGGTTTCAGCTAGGAGAAAGTCCAGATTGTTTTGTGTTCCACCAGCTCACCACCAAACCCCCTGTCACTGTACAGAAAGGAGCGAAAGTTGTCACAGAAGGAAGAAACTGAAGGAGTAAAGGATGCTCTGACTGCTGTGTTTGTGGTTGACCATATATAAAGCAAGCCATAAGGAGAGCACAGTTTGAATCTCAAACCATGCTTTTGACCTGTACCTCTCCCTCTTGAACAGAGTGCTGAATCCAGAAGAGCTTCAAAGAATAGATCTGAAGTGTGAGATGTACTATTTATGTTAATGGACCACAAGTGCTGAAAGCTAGGGATGAAAAATTTAGCATCAGATTTGTCAAATACTTCGTTGCTGATGGGATCATTTTAGCAGGAATGACCAATGACAGTGCTTATCCATCAAACTGAAGGTTTCATATAAAAAATAAATAACAGGGGAGATGGGGCTTTTGGTGGCTGATTCACTTATGCATTTTAATTAAAAATCTTGATTGTTTGAATGCAAATGAAGCAAACCCAGAACTGCCAGTTCATTGCATCGGCACGCTTAAAATCACAGCAGCAGCAGCAGAGATTTGGTTCAGTCAGGTATAACGATGATAGCATCCTGAATGAAACATACGAAAGCTTTGCTGCATCTGCAGATCTTGCCATCGGCTATGCCTTACTCTGCTTTTACCAGTGGGAGCAACCCCCACAGCAGTCATCTGAAGACAGTAAGAGCTCATACCTCAGCCAAGCTGTTTCTGGACAGGGATCTGTTAAACTAGAAAGTTTCACTGAAGGGCGCATGTCAATGTTCAAACATTCCCAGATCTCAGCAAGGCAAGATTAAGCTGTTCTGTTTATGCTAAGAGAAGCGTCACGCTTCTCCTATATACCTGAGATTATCTTTGCCTTGGAATTACTAAGATTGACTGCCATTTTATGTAAAAGAAGTTCTGTTTACTTTTTATAGATCTTACAAGGGAGAATAAGCAAGCACATGCAGAAATCAAGCAAGCACGTTACAGAGCTAATGCATCCAGGCTTTGCTAAGCCAATTAAGCAATCAAATCAAGGTCACAGCTGAGATGGACCCAACAGATCAATGAGATTGAATGCCCAAAATTAATACACTAGGAAATTAAATCAAAAGGATAAATTTGAGACTGAATTGGTTTTGTTGTCTTGGGCGGGGGGGGGGGGGGTGTGTGTTTAAGGGGAAGCTGTTTTCAGTTGCAAGCCACAGCCAGTGCTCAGCTCAGAGTGTTTTGTCTGGCCAGCACATGACGTAGGTACTCAGAGGATGTATGTGTCCATCAGATGCTTGTCCTTCCTGAGACAGACCCTCTACAGCAAAGGGTGACCCTGATCTGCTTCATTTAAGGAGGAGGTACAACCACCTTACTGCTGTCAGCTGCTCTGCTTCATTATTTCCTTCCTTAATCTCACTGCTGTAACAAGTTATTAGCTCGCTGTTTTGATTCTCCCTTTCTAACACAGAGAAATTCTTCCCCCTAGAAGTGACACAGATGACAGCCAAATCAAGCAGTAACAGCTCTGGGGAAAAAAATAATAAATCCAGAAGAATCTCCCTAATTATACGCAAGATTTGCAGGGTTTGGTGTTTACTTTTAGGGCCCTGTATGTAGTGCTGTTTCTCCATTATAGAGTGCAAATATGCAAGTGTGTGTTTGAGATAAGGCGGTATCATCCCAGTGTATTGAAAGGGAAATGAAAAGAAAGAGTTCAAATGCTTTGTATTTTGGGCTCTTTCACTTGTGGTGTTGACAGCAGCTGTAACAAAGTTCCAGGCTGAACACAACTTACAATTCACGTTGAGCATCTCAGTGGCATTAGCAGAGTCAGGAAGAAGTCTTTTACCTCTTCTGCCATGAATTGTTCAGTCACAGGAAGGGACAGCTTTGTGTCCAGAAGCTGTCTGGAAACAAATGTATTCCTTCCCATCAAGACCTTCACTCCTTTAAGAATCCTGTTCATGATTAGCTCCAGACCTTGCTGTAGGTAATGTTGCCTAGTGGAAGCCTTAAGCTATGTGGCCACCAGGATGAGTGCTCACTGCCAAGCAATGTCTGCTAGTTTAATTGCAGGCTGCTTGCCAGAGCAGAAAGAGATATGGAGGGCAGGCTGCAAAAACATACCTTTACTTTCTAGCTCACTGAAGAATATCAAGTGTACAGGGCAATAAATAACTTCAAAAATGAATTCTTTATGAGTTCTTTCAGAGCAGTTACTTCCTCACCCTACCTTGGGCACCTAATGCAGGTAAATTCCCCAAAGAAAAATGCTCCTTTCTTTTAATTTCTTTTTTAACATAGGGCTAAATTGTGCTCATAATTAGAGCTTTTCTAGGTCCAGTTCAGAGTGATAGCGAGGAACTTTTGTTTTATAGGAGCAGCTTTTCCTTTGAACATAGTCCAAAGAATTGGGCTGCAAGGCTTGGGTCTGCCATCCCTCGTGGGGCCATTTGTAGGGGCTTCCTTCATCCTTCATCATCAGGAAGCAATTAGCCACTCCCCAGGTCTCACCAGCCCTGTGCCCTGGAACATCCACATCAGGGATGCTGCCCAAGTCATGATGGAAGGGCACAGAAGGGAGTTTTGTTGCTGTTGGCTTGAACATCCCAATGGGCTTGTAAAGCCCGAAGGCTGGTCGCCTGTGTCACAGCCCGGTGCAGAGCATGCCAATGGCTGCTGAGGCAACTTGTGTGAGCAGCTATCCCCCAGCATGAGGGGCAGGCTGCCGAGCCAGGCCTTCTGTTTGGGCAAAACCCAGCGACGCTGCTGAATTAAAGACATAATTGAGGGTTTGGCAAAATTGCAGCGCAGCTGCCCAAGGTCATCTCCAGTGAAAGTAGCCGAGGAGGTTTACACAGAAGATGTTAATTGGATTTTCCTTCTCTCTTTAGAAAGGTTTAGAGCTATCGGATCTCCCCACACTACAAGCAGCATGAATATGTCCAATGATATTGTGAGCTGATTATTGTTCATTCTTAACGGCTTTCCATCTCCGTAACAACAGTATTAGCATTAATATTGTGCCCAGGGCTCTGAATATGTAGACTAATGGAACTCAATCAGCTCTTAAAGAACAAAGGATCCCTTTTACGTGGCACCCTGTGACAGTCAGAGGATTGGATTAGCAACTTGTCAATCCTCCTGTTTGCAGCTCTTTTTGGATGCGCTCTTGAACGCGGATAGTATGTAGAATTACATTATCTGAGAAATTAATACAAAACATGAAGGTATGTGCTATTCCCTCCTGACCTGATTATTCTAGATTATTTAACTAAGTAGCCAGCGTAGCCCCTAATTTAAGTGCTGAATTTCTACAGCAAAAATAAACCCACTATCTTTTCTCATAAAAGAAGCCCCCGAAAGAGCAAGCTCAATTGCCAATTATGCTTCTACCATGAAATCTCTTCTATCCCCTTCAGGATAGGTTTGGGTAAAAATATAATTGCAGTGGATCAGGATGCTTAAGAAAAGATGTAAATGAAAAATGTTATGTGTTGGCATCTGATTGATCCATTTGAAAGGAAGAGAAGGGGAATGTGACGAGATGGTAAGGAGCTCATAGTTTGTTTCGAAGGAACCCGGCATTTTTAACCTGTGCAGGGTGCTGAGCTATAATTAAGAACAGCAAGTCAGTGAAAAATCTATTTAAACTCCTGACAGCTTCTCTAGATGAGCATTTTTGACATCTCCATTCACTCTGGCAAATCACTAATGTGATTTCCTTCTTTTTTTCTTCCCCCCCCAAATTATATTTCTATTAGCTTTCTGCACATAATAACAAAGTGAAAATGATGTTGCAGCCTGGACAGGTCTTTAACTCCAAAGCTCAGTTCTTCCAATGTGCTTAATTAGCTGCCTGATGATTGTTTTATTCTGA